AGTTACGCCCCGAGACTATAGCCGTAGGCAGTACATTCTACCGTTATTGCCAGTTCTTCTCTTCCGTTCTACGCCCTTGATTTGGGAACTATCAGTAAAATTAGAATCATTTCATATATTTTTTTTGACGTTCATAAGTGTACATTGCGTTACCTATATGAATATATGATTTTGACTTTGACTTTATCTTTGTTCCAATACATCGTCGTTTCATAGTGTTAAATGAAACGAGTATTTTATTAATCACTGTGTTAATTATATTTTATTGTAAACCAGACAATGGCGAATAAGAAGTAAACTTATCAGATATGTATAGACAACAAGTGATGCATTCTATAATTGCTGAAGGCGCCAAATTTAAATTTTATAGACTAACACAGCAATTAACTAAATCATGGGAGTTACGCCCCGTGAGTATAGTCAAACGCAGGCACTCTCTTCAACTGTTACATTGCAGTCATTCGTTAGATAGCAATTAACATTTAATTATCTCGCTTATATTCTATTGTTGTACGCGTGTGGTTAATATAGAGTAAAACTAAAATCTTCTATTATTTAAAGCACCCCGATGACCCGGGAACCGTACAATTATACACTCAGTTTTAAAAGCTTTCCCTTACGCACTGCTTACTAATAATGTTGTATGTAAAATATAATATAGATACAAATTGTATTGTTATAATAGGCGTAGCTGGGTCTAATTTATATACCACTGCAAATAAGATGTACCTTAACCATTTTAAGGTTTAATGTGTGGCGCTACAACCTTTTTAGGTCTAGGCCTCAGATTTCTGTATTTGTTTCATGATCATTTGTTAATTTAATAGGCAAGCAGGTGATCAGCCTCCTGTGCCTGACGCACGCCGTCGACCTTTATGGGTCTAAGGTAAGTAGGTTTCCTCACGATGTTTTCCTTCACCGTTCGAGTGAATGATAAATGCGCACATTGAAAGAAAGTCCATTGGTGCACAGCCGGGGATCAAACCTACAACCTTAGGGATGAGAGTTGCACGCTAAAGCCACTAGGCCAACACTGCTCTCACTGCTGCAAGCATTTTAAGGTTTAAGCTTGAAATTTATTTCGGAATAAATAATATCATAATAGCAGCTTTATGTCTTGAAGGCGAATTATAAAAGCCAAGAATACTTATCTTGTTAATTTTTTGATCTGAATACAATAATTGTTATTATGTTTGTGGATAAACAGGTTTTTGTATTTGGTACCAAATATATATTTTTTTTAACAAGTCACATATGCTTATTTTATTTTATTGAGTTGGTATATAAGAACTTTCTGGATCTGTTTAAAAACACTTACTTGCGACTTTGAATACAATAAACGTAAAACTTTGTTCTGAATTATTTTTCTTTAATATAATTTACGTCATTCATACAAGACTACCCATTATATAGCAAACAGTTTCAATGTGTATTATCCATTGAGGATTCATTTTTTCCTTCATTTATGGATATTTAAGAATTATCTAGTCAATGTTACAGGATTCGTCTCATGCTATCCCTTTCAAATTATTCATAGTTAAAAATGCCATGAAAAAGCCATTGTGGAATATCTATATTTATACCATATCACTGCAGTGTTGGCCTTGTTGCTTCACCGTACTACTCTCATCTCTGAGCAACGACAGCTTTGATTAACGGCTGTGCACCAATGGACTTTCTGTCTATGCGCCTATCTAACATTCGCTTGTAGTGAAAGGAACATCGTGAGGAAAACCGCATGTCTCAATTCAAAAATCGGCTGACCACCTACTTACTACTAGGAATAAAAGTGACCGAAGAAACGGATGCAATCTAAGGCCCATAGTGTCGTAACGCCACTGGATTATCATTATTATTATATTACTATTGATTTATTTGGTTACATTAATATAGTTGTGAATAAAAATAAATATAGTTTAAAAAAACTAAATAACTCTGTGCCATATTTTTCGTCTATCGAGCAACCCACGCTTTTTCACAATAATACCAGTATTTTTTGTTCATTACCATTTTCAGCCTAAATTAGGAATTATTTTTCACTTTTTAGTTTGATGTGCTTTAAAAGCGTGTTTTTTTTTAGTTTTTTTAAACTATATTTATTTTCCACTTTGTAGTCCTAGCAGCAATACGTGTTGTCTCAATTTAATCGCATTGCTTTGTGGACTTAAAAAAAATTCATTGTTTTTTCGAGATCAACCTATGAAATTATTATATTGTCGCTGATGCTCAAAATCGAGTCCGAAGGAGTCGGTTACATACATACAGGTGAAGCTAATATAAAGCGTGTAAAAACCATGCTGTATTGCTTAATTACATTATGTATGAATACAAATAACGTAGGTTTGAATTATTGTAGTACCTAAAAAATCTAAAAATGTTTTCGTTATTCTATTATTTCTTATAAATTAGACAATTGACATATTATAAAAGACTTTCCTTCTGCTAAAGATATTCTTTATTACGCCTTCTTTATATCAGCTTCTATATTCTTTATGTCAGCTTCTGTACCTGAAACAATACAAAGACTAGAACAAGTTGAATTTTCCCACGATGTTCACCGCCACCGTAATAGTAGTGCACAGAAAATCCATTGTTACCAATCTAAACACATAACCTGAGGATTGAGAGTCGCTTAAACACCTAGGCAGCCACTGATCCGACCTGACCTCATTTGCTACCTTTACATAATTTGGATGGACCAGACGAAATTAGTCATAATGGATTAGTAATAGTTCACTGGGTTAATTTCCGTCAAAAAGCCAATTGATCACAAAAATATTATGCTGCTGATCACATCCATTGAGGATGAGTCACGACGGTAGACCTTTATTATTATTAAATCGGAGTTTATGGTAATGTGTTGGAAACCCAAATTATACATAGCTTTTTTGACCACCACGACATCGAACAAACTTACAACTTATTTCACAATGACAATATGTTTGCGACAGCACAATAAAATTAAAATTGTGTCACTCCGAAGCTACATAAGCTAGCCATTGAGAAAACATTGATACAAAAGAAAATCATCGATAACAATTCCTATTCGTTAGTGTTTCGTTAATAAAAAAATGATTTTGACTTAATAACTTCCTCCTCCGGGCTCATATCGTAGTTAATTTGCCATGCTCCAAATAGTGCTGTCCGAAAAAACGAGATTTTGTTTTGAATTAAATAACGCTTCAAAAAGTCATGTGATAAAAGTATTCTCTAAGAATGAGTATACACGGGCTCTTCAGTTATACGTAAAGTTAGCAGATAAAAGTGGATTACTTGAAAAGGGTCGTACATTAAGCGGCCCACGTCTTGAACAACGCGTGTGTGTTCCAAATATGTGATATAAATTATGTTAACAAATGTATCTATACTGATATTATAAAGATGAAAATTGATATAATTCAAAGTCAAAGTCAAATCATTTATTTCAATTAGACCATCTAAAATGGCACTTTTGAACGTCAAAAAAAATACAAAGAAGATTCTAGTTGCTCCTTCCAAAAGGTAGTTTCTTGTGGAGAAGAATGGGCAAGAAACTCCACACTGTTTGTAACAATTCAAATAATGAATACGGAGAACGGACAACCTCATATATTGTATTGTCTTTGATTAACATAACCTTTACACATTTAAAGAAAAACGCTTTTTCCGGGTTTAAATTTTTTGTTTATTATTATAAATTTACAACTATTTGACATAATTTTAAATTTATCCGACCGAAACGCGGTGGCTTTACAGCGTGCGTGGTATGACTGAAGACAAAAGATGTTGAATGTCAAAAAGTATCAAATAATGAATACGGAGAACGGACAACCTCATATATTGTTCCACGCCTAGTTAATGTTCTACTCCCAAATCTTAAAATAACAATAAATTAGATGTAATATTGTGTATAAGGTATAAAAAAGTTTTGTTTTCTCTGTTTGTTGTAATATTTCGTTTTTTGTATTAATTGTATTTTTTACGTTGGAGTTTAAGATTTGTAAAACAGTTTTTAAAATAGCCCTTCAGGCACCAAGGTAAAACCTTTTATTTCTTTTTGTTGTTTTCTTTACTTTCAGTTTATTTCTTTTTTTATATAGAACAGGGGGCAAACGGGCTCATCTGAAGGTAATTAATAGTGCCGCCCATGGACACTCTCAATGCCAGAGAATTCGCCAGTGAGTTGCCGGCCTTCTAAGAATTGATACGCTCTTTTCTTGAAGGACCCTAACTCGATTTGGTTCGGAAATATTTCTATATTAAGCAATAATAAAAATAAAAAAAAACTATTGCTAACTTAAAAAACTTGCTCAGAGATAATTTGATGCATTGGGGACTTAACAGACGCCGACAGAATTCACAAGAGTTGCATAGTCCTTTATTTGTTATTATGGTTATTTTTTTTTCTTTTGAAATGGTAGAAAATAAGGTTAAAATAAATGTATAAATTCAAAAACAACATGTCCGATTAATTTTTATATTTCTTAATGTTTATGTCATACATATTTTTTTTTTACTGTACACAATTCACTTGTGCATATTTATAAATTTAAGAATCATTTTTCATGGTAAAAAAACTTTAAAGACTGTTAGTTAGATCAATGAGATAAGAAGGTTTTAAAAAGCTCTATGGAATTTCTTTGAATCATAAAGTACTTGCGAAGAATTTCAACATTTAAGGATGAAGGAAGTGAATTTATTTCGATTTAGAACGCTCTTAGAATTTCAAAGGAAGTATTTTGTGCTGAATGTCTCGAATATTGAACATAAATTGCAGACATCGTCAGCTGTAGTTGAACTTCTAATGGATGAGAAAAAGAAATTGTTATTTTTTTAAACTGTACATTACAAAAATTATGAACAAAAAAAAACACATTCAGAAAATTTATTAAGACAATTTACATTCAGCATCACAGATTCACATATTTAGCTACAATAGCTCACTTATTTGTCTTACAAAACTTGTTATCACTATACACAAAAGTCCAAGCGTATCTTCGAATCGTTTTGTTTGAGTCTCCTTAGCTTTTTGGTTTTTTAATCTCAACACATTTTGGTCCAATCTTCTTATAATTTTCAGGGCACTTGTTATCACCAATAAAATTACGATTCTCCAATGTAGGCACCACTTTCTTGAACCCTGCCTCCATATTTGTCGGTTCTCTTTCAATTATCCTAACTCTAGCTGTTGGATTCGATTCATTGTTTAAATCGATTTTAATTATAACCTCCTGTGATGTTAATGGTATTCCATCAATTTTTATAACTCTAGCCTCAATTGAAATTGCTAGTAGATACACGGTAGCAAACAGTGCAATAAACATTTTAGCTTCGAATTAAGGAGTAAATAACTGAATGACCGCGTTGTTGTAGTTTATATACATAAGTTGTAATTGGTCATAGATACGTCATAATCTAATTAATGAGTAGTCTCCGGATTTACCCTAAGTTGTAATGCAACAAAAATGATTCACATATAATATTTAGTGTCGAGCATGTTGTTTTTTTATAGTTTTTGTCAAATTAGTTGGGTTAAATGCTAAAAATATAAGCAATTTATCGTTTTTCGGAAATCAATGATACAATCTCGCCTTAAAAGTTTACCCCAAAAGCAAAGTAAGCAGAATATTATTTTTGTAAAAAGTATGTACAAGAAAATTAAATAATATATACATTAATCAGTCAATTTATTTTGAAAGGTAAAGTTGATTTATGAATGAATTTCATTTTATAAGTCATTAATAGTATATTTGTCATGAAATAGGGGTCATATTTATTTACACTTGTGTTTCGAAATAGATTAAGAAGCTACATATAAATCTTACTATTTTGTGTGGGCTTATCAAAGTCGAATATTTTTGAATATAATATATTTAATTAATAAAAGTATCATCCTTGTAGTGTTATTCGGCCCTTGGCCCTCTGATAGTAGTTAAATTAACATTGTAAAAAAGCAGTCGGAGGGAATCAATAACATCTGTGAATACGATTTGGACAATCAGAAAACCTAGAAGAAGCAAATTTGAAAAAAATTTTGGTTTCTGTTCAGCAAGGTCGGGGAGTACGGAGATGTCTTAGACCTTCTAATTCAGCACGGCTAATTTAGTAGCCATTTCTTGTGCAGTGTATTATCTACAGTAAATGTCATGAAATAGCTTAGTGGCGTGGACGAATAAGAACACCTAATCTGGTTTAGCCGCTAGCTTTTTCCATCATGGTTTGCAATTGCTACAATAGACTTCAGCCGTTTTAGTCTAGCCAGATTTGACTACATCACTGCAAGGCAATAGAGTCCTCTCAAACGCTAACAAGAAAGCTTTTTTGTTAAATTTTACCGCTTGGGGCAGGATTTTCGGCTGCACCTACTCTGGTCTTGATCCCAGGATTCATTGCCTGCTCCGTGGACTTGACAGCTTTTGTGCCAATCTACTATATAAACTAGCATCCCATTTTTTGTTATAATCATAAGATATGTTATTTTAAATATGTTAATATGTTTTCGTTGCATTACATACATCGATACATTACATGTATTGTATTAATAAACCAGAGCAAAATTGAAGTCGGGATCGCAATCACTATCGTAAAAAAAGAGTTTCTGCCCAATTAATGTGCCCAGAGACAAGCAGAGGGTAGAGCGGTGTGGAGGCAGCAACTCGGCGTAGCGGTTAGACCTTGCAGAAGAGAGAAACGAAGAGAGGCACGACCTTCAGTAATGAAGACTAAAAAGAAAAAGAGAAGATTTGTTGTCACCTCCTTGCTTAGATAAAGGCACACCTCGCGTGTCAAGTTAGCCGCGTGTTTGTTATATCAGAATCCATGTTAAGAACTCTTATAAGTTGGATATATAATGTTGATATAATGAAGAGCATTCTCTCCAGTCTGCGGTTGCCAAGCAAGAACCGGAAACGAACGTGGTAACAACGGGGACCCACGAACCTAATTTTAGTAAGCTGCCACTCACGAAAGCGCTGCGTCTAAGAAACAAGGTATCTTTGGCTGTGGAACTATTTAGTTGTACTCTTGAGAAACAAAATTGGCTAGTTTTACTATTATTTACACAACTTTGGTAGATAACACTTTTGACATTTGCTTTTTATTTTTTACGTGTATCTAGTAAAAAATAATCATATTATAAGAGAATAAATCCAACCTTAATCAGAATAAAAATCCCTTAGAAAAAAATAAATAGGTATCATAATAATATGGTATTGTTAAATCTTCAAGTTAGTTTGTTTAGTCAACCTGTAAGAAAATTTTATCCAACTTATCTTCGATCAGAGAAAGTAAAAATAATTATACAAGTTTGACTATAGATGAAAAAAATTACAAAATAAATTCCGATTTTTTTTTAACTTCACCAACCACAAAACACAACTTAAGCACACCAATATTTCAATGCCCAATCTTGAGTCCTATTTTGTGGGAAACATTTAACATGTTAAATAGTTTTATAAAGATTTAACCAGACTTGTTTCACCAACATTAAGTTTAGTTTAAGCTACAACCAGGTAAAAACAATAGACAAAATAAAATTTAATAATTTGTTTTATTAGAACAATATAACGTTTTACAATAATATCACAGTAATAATAACAAGTACATGAATGTATACAAAAACGGACTAGTTCATGGGTACACTCTCATTTGCATTTTTATAAAATTTAAATTACATATTACCAAACAGCTTCCTTCGAGTTTAAAAACCTGCTTACACCAGTCTTACAATCTATTCAATCTAAGACTATAAGCAATAAAATGATTAACATAGTTTAGCATTATTTTAAATACTGTTCATCTTTCATCCGTTTGACCACCGCTTTCGTTGCACGTAAGTTTCACTAGTTTTTTACTAACTAGCTATTTGTGGTCCAAATGACATGTTTATTCAGTTTACAAAACATTTTCCTGCTAACTTTAATCGCTGCATTCCGGAGCCATACTTATACTTGAGCTCACCTCAAAAACTGCAGAAATTTGAGGGAATAACAGAAAACTTCTCAGTGCAAAAGTTATACGTCGTATATTACCCAAGAATCACACATGCTGGTCCTCTCTTCACTTGCCCTAAAGGACATTTCCCTCCCACAATACCAGCACGATCATTAAAGTCAGGTATAAAACCAACTGCGGGCTTCAAAGTCTTTTCTACTTCTTGATTCTTTGTTTCTTTCTCAATAAACTTTATGTTAGCTACCGGGTCACCTTTGTCGTTCATTTGAATTGCAATCTTCATTATCATCTCGGTTTTGATGGGAATTTTATCAATTTTAATCACTCTGCTCTGTACCATAGCAACACACAAAATGCACATTAAAATTGGAGACATTCTGATATTCATGGTTGGAATATTTTTAATAAATTTTGATGCTACTTTATTAGACGACACAACAAGTTTGCAACTTTAGTTGATATGATATTTTCGAGGCAAGCCGGTCGCTTATATTCAAGCAGGATTGTGTCAGGTTTTTGAATATGTTTTCCCTATGACGCAATTGACCCAGGGGATTTTTGAGTGGCGTATACAGTCAACATTATTGCAGATATTTTATAATGAGATATTACATTATCTAACATTAAATTTAATAGATATTCTAAATTACTCCACAATTAAAGGGCCCATTAGCGGACCGTGGAGTGTATTTTTGTGGTGGTTAAAGATTAATGTTTTTTGTTGGCTGGCTTGGTTGGTTATTTGTTGATAATAAAATGTTTTGAGCAGTTTTTGCCTTAGTGCATTTGACTTAACTTTCAAAGTGTGCAACTAAGGTTTGCTCTAACGAGGTACTCCTACGGTAAGAGGCAACGTCGTGAGGTTCCTTATTCACAAGAAATGGATGTTTTGTTTGACACTAAAGACTGACTCACTAAATAAATACAATGTCTTAGGAAAGTGAACTGAACGGAATTCTTTACTGCGGGCATATAAGAGCTCTCTATAAGCCAATCCATCAATTAAGGGGAAGTATACACTTTTACCAAACACAAAAATAAGAATAACGGGGCTGCAACGTCCATTCGAGAAGGTGATAAGAATTATCGGTTCTTACAACTGTTTAATTTAAATTATCTTAGAACTATATTATCGTTTATATGTTTACTTGTAAAATATTATTTATTTATTAACACTTCATTGCACATATACAGAAATATAGTATAAAATTATAAAATAAAAAGGAGGGCAACTGGCGGCCTTATCACTTTCGGGCGATTTCTTTCAGGCAACCATTATGATAAAAAAAATTGATGAGCGCAAGAAGTGCAAAACTACACAAGACAATTTATACAGACAAAATGAAACTATGAATGAAAACTAATAGTATAAACCAAAGAAACCAAAAATAGTAAAAAGTGAAAGTAACAATATTAAAAAGGAGATATGAAAATGAAAAAGTGGACATGAATCACGATAATTTCAAATCAGTTAGAATAAAAGTTAGGGATACTATCTGATAAGATGCATTAGACGATAGTCTCAATCACAAAATACATATATCTGTTTTGAGATCATTTGTAGGCAGGTGATCAGCCTTCTGTGCCTGATACATACATGCCTTCGATTTTTTGCGTCTAAGGCATGCTGGTTTTCTCAAGGTGTTTTCCTTCACCGTACGAGCGAGTATTAATTATGCACAAACACAAAGTCCATTGGTGTACAGCCAGGCTTCGAACCTACAAACTCAGGGATGAGAGCCAATAGTTATTCGTATATATATCGTCTAAATCACATTGCTAACAAAGCTTAAAAATGATTCAGTTTATATACCCTATTTAAAATGCAAATGGCAAAAATATATAATTGAATTAGTAATAGTAAAATCCGCCCACGTGCCTGTCTCAAATGACAATTAATTACATATTCAAACATACAGGAAATTGTCGTGCATAAAACTAGTATCACAGTAAGACGGCCAATGGGAATATACATATTTAAAATGTAAGGTTCTCCACTGCTTCATTGCTGTCGTAATCACCTGCACTAATCACTAATCAAAGTGAATACAGGCCTTAATATAAAATGAGAATAGATTTATATTTCTATATGTTAGTAATGTACTCAATAAGCTACTGGACCGATTTCATGAATTTTGAACTCGGTGAATGCTACATTATTCCTTAGTAACATAAGAAATTGACCCAGGGTATTTTTTACAGTCAACGTTATTTCAGATATTCTATTTCCAAAATACATCCAATCCAGCTGTGCGAAGCCATAACAGCCCGCTACTTTAATTCATTATTTTTCAAAACCTTCATTATATAAGGCAATATAATTTAGACGCACTTTACGAATCTAGAATCTCAATACCGAATACGCAATGTATTTTTTTTTTTAGATTTGTTGTAAATATATATGATAAATTCACAATTTTTCCTTCAGGGAATCGTTCAAGTTTCCTTTTCAAGAATTAACGTAAATAGTTGACGTAAAAGATAGTTCATTGCCATGTTGCATGCTCGTGAAGGATAAATAACAAATATCTTGTTCTTGTTAACTATTAATATTTTCAGTAATTTACCTTATATGGTTTATTATATAGTTTATGGAAGATACTGGTTTGCCTCAGTTCTAACTTCAATACTTACTATAATATAGATTCATGATCATCTATGAAGACTGTATGTTACTTATGCTTACATTAAATAGATTAATATAACGGATTCCCTAGACGTTTATTTTACTCTTTTGACAGTACATTTACTTCAAACCGCAAAATTATTCATCACTTGGATACTGTTTTGTTACTGTTACCTGTTTAATTAATAATGACATCAAGTTGACCAACAAATCAAAACACTTTTTGCTAATGTCTTCCCGTTGTAAATTGACGTCTTATTATTTTCCTATTCTGCCGCGTAATGTGATTGAAGTGCGTAAGTAAATTCGAAGTACGCACGTAGCAATTTGTTAAGACATAAATCGTAACATAAGCATCACCGCAATTAAAATAATACCCTGCGATATATCGTATGCTTTAATTAAACATAGAGCTGACTATCACAGACAACTTTAAACGAACTATAAATAAAGCTTTACAGTAGTCGTAGTCAGGGAGAGGTTGGTCGTGGTGTACCTGCTGTAATTATGTAAAAGTGTAGTACCAACAACAAAAGCAATGTTAGGAACTCTCTCAACTGTCATAACTATCGGATATCGATTTTTGGGAGTTCTAATTCGCACTTAAAATTGTATCCTGACTGTTCAATGTACACTAATCTCAGGATAATAATTGTAAATTAAGCATAAAAAGTTATTAAGTGTAAATAAATTAATAATTTCATTATTGATGAATATAATATAGTCTTTATTTGAATAAACCTAATATTAATTCATAAGCTTAAATATGTAGAGGAAGCATGGTTTCTCTAATCTGAGGGGGGATCCTCAACCAGTCCAACTGGCCGGCCCGAGGACCCCGGTGGCTATGGTCGAGAAGACATCCTAAGCGGCTAGAAAAACTTTGTTAGTGCATTTTAGAGTATGACGTCAACGCAGTGATTGTGGCCGTACATATCGCTCAGAACGCTAAACAAACCAAAACGAATGAACAAGTAACAAATAATATAGCTTAAATTGTTGTTTTGAACCTCACTCACGACGCGTGTATCAGTGAATTTATTATTTTCAACTTAATGTTGGAGAAGATATACTATCAGCAGAGTTATCTTAGAATGAATAAACAGTTATTACATAATTTATACTTTGTTCAGACGGACGCGTCAATAATTCTGTTTTACGCTACGTGTAAGTAATTAATAAAATATAATCTTGAGTTGTCTTAATTAATGATTTTTGGAGATATTACTAAATTTGTTATTTTAAGTGTTAATTTGTCACTATTTCGTAAGTATATATATGCATTTACATAATACAACAATAACAATAATATCAAATATCTTATTGTCTGAACGCGGCATTGATGTTGCTACACAACTCATCAACGCCACCTAGCTTATTCTCTTATACCTTCGACAATTGTGAACGTCTAGTTTATGATGGTTTGAGACACATGGTTTAAGGTTCGGCTTACTGGAACGGACCAGTCGTAGCTTATTTATCGATAAAAACGCCTCCTGTTTATATTTACAGAGAACTGAAGAACAGTTTTCAGTCATGCTTGATTTATGTGTTATAAACCAAGTTTTTTTCTCTGTGTACTTAAAGGTTTAAAATATTTTCAGAATCATGACATACTTTTCCTACCTGCCTGTGAAGTTGCAAGAAGAATTACAGCAGACTGCTGAAGCTATTGTATGTCATGGAAAGGGAATACTGGCTGTCGATGAAACAAATGGTAAATTTAAAAAATATGTTTTAGAAGGGAACTTGGTCATGACGACAAGTCTTTACTTTCTTTATGTACGTACTAGAGGTAATAATAGTACAATAATAGTATGATGGTTAAAGACGTTGCGTACAATTATATAATTAAGTCATAGAATGATCGTCATAAAATCGTCACTCAACGTCAGTTATTTGTAATAAGGTAAAATTTTAATATATACCCTATTAAGAAGAAGTTTGAAATAACCTTATTATAATTTTTATTTAAAGTTATTCAGTTAAAGAGAAGACTAATTTTGGTCTAGTTCAACTGTTACTCTTATCCTGTGTTTCGATGAACTTTGAATGAAGGAAAACATCGTAAGAAAACCTATATGTCTCAAATATAAAAACAATTGACGACATGACATCTTCTTGTGTCTAAAATATTAAAGAAACGGATGCAATCTGAGGCCAATATATGGTAGTAGCGTATATATTATTAATATAATTAAATACATGGTTAAGTATCCTGGTAGTTAGATTTTTAAATAGGACATATTTCTTTTCCACGTTAATCCAGAAGGTTCTGTACAATCTTTTGATTATTTCTTTAAGAGCCAAAAAATGGTAATTTAATGGTAAATGGTATCGTATATTGAAATGTTATAATGGAATTGAAATAACCAAGATGTTATAGAGTTTGAGGTAATATTAACGAAAATTTTCAGAAGGAATAGGCGCACTACTTGCACAAGTTGGCTTGGAAAATACCGAAAACAATAGACGGAATTACAGACAGCTACTATTTACATCTGATGATGTAAGTCTATAGTATATGTATTGAATCTGTTTTCATACTTCTTTTTTATTTTATGGCTCTGGCACGGTTTGTGCATTAGCCAGCGTCAAGTATAAGATTTTTATTATTCGTGCTTGCCTTAGAAATTCGACCATGTCCTCCATGTACTCGCCCGGTTTAAGCACTCGCCCGGTACCGCACAACCCTCCCAAAGGCCGAGAACAAATTTAAATTAAATTAAAACTTGCCCTCGAACCGGGAATCGAACCCGGTACCCCTCACCTAGCTGCCACTTAATAAGACCGCTAGGCTATGAGGCCCCCGTTTTCATACTTTAATGACGTCCAAATTGTTTCATTTAGTTTTTTTTTCTGTATTTTTTTATTTTACCCTAACATAGAACTTCGGATTGGACTTATGACATATTAATAAAAATGTTTTTATTGATCTGCTATGGAACATACATAATTAACTAAACGCCGAAATCTCTATAATATACTAGCAGACCGGCCAAGCGTTGCTGTGGCTAAGGTGTTAAATTACATAGTAGCAAAGCATAGTAGCTATTCAAGAGAAACGGTAGGAGAACACCAGTCATGGGGACAACCATGCTTTTTTGGTGGTTATTTCATTAAATTGTAGCTTATGTGAAACGTTGGTACTTTCAACACAGCGCCATCTGTTAGAATTGGGACTATAAAATAATAAACAAATATTTTGCAATAAAATAATATTGCGGGTATAAATTGAGATGTAAGCTATCCTATCTTTTAAGTTGGATCAAACTACACACGGTGTGCAAATTTGATTGGTATCGGTTCGGTAGTTTAGGAGTCCATAGCGGACAAACAACGTGACACGTAATTTATATATATTAAGATGTAGAATACATTGGTCAAAGATTCGTTTTAATATTTTGTTTGTCAATTCGAGCTTTTATCAAATCAATCCAGCAACGTTAAATATAAAACTACTGTAGTAGTTAAAACTAGAATATAGATAACGTGACAGTTTCGTCATCAATTTTGCGACGATAATGTGACTTGCCTTGTATTATTCATTCAAAATATAAATACACTTAGCAAAACTGGGAAAAACCTAAAGTTGGGGAGGTATGGTGCCTAATTAAGTAATTAGTCATGAATCTCCACCCCACAATAGGCAAATTTAAGGTAGCAATGTTCGTTTATGAAGTAGTTTGGTTCTTAGTCAAAGGAGGTCAAAGGTCAATCAAAGGAGGAGATATTAAAAAGATAACGAGAAAATATTAACACATTTAAGTTATGTATGCAGTTTATTATTAAAGTGAGATGCTACACTTTTTTTTTAATTGTATCGTACTAAAGTTCGTCGTTTTACGTTCGTATGTTACCCTTTATTCCCGCCTTGCCCTGCGTCTCCCCCTGCTCCAGCGTTTGCGTTAAACCCAGCTAAAATAATAATAAAAGAAACAAAATTAGTTTTACAATAAATTTCTAATGATATAATGTCTTCTAAAAAATTGAATTTTATATTCATACTAGCTGATCCGGCAAACGTCGTTTTGCCATGTATATTTATAATAAAAAATAAGGGTTGATCGTAGAGGGGTGAAAATTAGGGGTTGTATGTATTGTTTAATGTTGTATCATAAAAAAATAAAATTTAAAAAAAAAACTAAAAATTTAAAAAAAAATTAGGGTGGACTACCCTTAACATTTAGGGGGATGAAAAATAGATGTTGTCCGATTCTCAGACATACCCAATATGCACACTAAATTTCATGAGAATCGCGCAAGCCGTTTCGGAGGAGTTTAACTACAAACACCGCGACACGAGAATTTTATATATTAGATTAATCAAATCGATTTTCACACAAATTAATATTTTTGCTTAACGCGAACCGGCCGACTCTATAGTATATCGCTAAATACGAACCCCCAAATCCAGCTTCACCGCCTCCATTAGGTCCGCCACCACCGAACCCTCCATTCCCACCTGCCTGCATGCCTACACCAAAATCGGCTTGACCACCTATACAAGGAATTTGAAGCTGAATAAAATACCTACGCAATAAAAATACAGTAGCAAAGTAAATTGAGTATTAGTAGAATTAAAATTATTTTCACTTGAAAATTAGGTAAATTTTAAGACATGATATAGGTACAGTATTACATTTTTTTAAATTGTTTAGTGGTACTAATATGCGTCTTGTCATCACAGTGTAAATACAATTTAATAGAAAGTTAAAATAGTGCAATTAGACTTATTAGAAGTAGCTTGGTACACTCGACATTGTTGGTATATTTTTTTACAATTTCAAACCACAAACGTTTTTAAAAAAAAATATTATGTTCCGTAAATACCCGCTTCACCACCCGGCCCTTGTTGCTTACTCTGAAAAAAACAAGATTGAATCTTCATTTTCTCGCATACATTTTTAAATATAATTTAGAGCTACGAATTAGAAATAAAAGACTAACATTCCCGATAAACATTGCACTTATAAAGAGCACCACAAAGTATTTAAACATTTTCGCTAGAGGACCCGTTTAATCAAATAAAAAATAACACTAACAATAAATCAAGTTCGCGCGTGGATTTTATAGCCAGACAATTAATTTTTACTCTACCGTAAATAACAATGCAGTGCATTATACATTGTCATTTAATGACATTAAATTGCTATAGTCGGAGGTGCCATTTTAAAACTATAATTTTTATTTACTTTGAACATGCGATACTATCAGTTTAACATGACTTTAATGAGAAGTAAGCGCGATGTTATTATTTTAAATCACTGTAAATACATAGGTATATAAATAAGCTAATAATCCTTCTTAAAGTAATCTAACCTCGAAATCTAACCAATGGGAATGGAAATCTGTTGTCAATATAAAGTTTCAGCACAGGAAAATTCAAAACAACGTCGAAATTAGGATTCTGATTCTGATTCAGATGACATCTAAAATATTGAAATCTTTATTTTGTTAGACAATACCAAGTGACAGTGGCGTAACTATACCATCTGGGGCCCGTGGCAAATTCTTTTGATGGGGCCCTATCAGTAAAAATCGACACGTTGTACTCAGTTTAATTTTAACTTTTTTTAACTTCGAGATTTTCAGCGTACTCAATTGCACGTTGTACATATGTCCCACTAATGGCTATAGGCTTCCTCCTTAGGGAATAGTCTGTAGTCTCCACGCAAGCCCAATGCGTATTGGAGACTTCACATTCATCCATAGAACATAATATCTCTTGGTCAAAACAAATAAATACATTTCATATATATATTTTCTTTTTCTTGACGTTCATTCGTGTACATTGGGTTACCTATATGAAAAAAATATTTTGACTTTTTGACTTTTGTAGGGCCCTCTTGGGTCGGGGGCCCGTGGCATTTTGCCAGCTCTGCCACTTTATTGTTACGCCACTGCCAATTGATTCAATCATTGGGAATCGATGTCTGTATTAATAGCCCTGCAGCTTATAGATTCATACGCAGACTAACTATTAACTATCATTATGAACTAATTTGGTAATTTACAGGTCTTGTCAAGCTATGTATCAGCGGTAATTCTCTATGATGAGACTGTATATCAGAAGACGGACAGCGGAGTTCGTTTTATAGAAGTATTGGGAAAGAAAAACATAATACCAGGAGTTAAGGTTGATAAGGATGTCGTCCCATTACCGTATACGGATGAAGTAACAACTCAAGGTATCGTCGAAAGAGTATAAAAATCTTGGTTCAAGTCAAAATGAACGTAAACGTCTAGTATATATACACAATTTAGCATTAATATATTCGGAGATAATATTGGTGAAGTCCTATCGGTTTTGTTAGTTTTCACTTAGTAGGATTGAAAATTAATATTCTTTGACAATAAATATAATAATAATATGTAAGTTATTAATCCACTAATTTTAGGTGACTGGAAAATATCTTCTTTCATCTGAATAGACTTAAAAAATCGTCCTTAACAGTATAAGAAAATAATAATATATATTTTCTGACTACCTGTCGAATTCGACTATTTAATTATTTACGGAATTTAAGACGGACAAAATTTTTAGGGCTCGACGATCTAGCGAAGCGCTGCGCCGAATACAAGAAGCAAGGATGTCGGTTCGCAAAGTGGAGGGCGCCACTCACTATATCAGCCAACGGCCCCTCTGCCCTTGCTATTGAGAGTACTGCTAATGTTCTTGCTCGTTACGCCTCAATTTGCCAGACTGAAGGGCTTGTGCCTATTGTGGAACCGGATGTGTTGTTGGACGGTGAGTAGGTACCAGGAGAGTAGGTAGTGGTAGAAGATATGTGTTTCCGGAAAATCTCGATAAATGGAACAGCGGCGGCGGTTAAATAGTCACTTAATATCAGGTGGGATTGGGGTCAAACGTCTGTTCAGTTCTATAAATAAAAAAGTCCGTTCAATTATATATTATATTCATACAAAAAATGTAACATAATACAGAATATCCTCGGTAATTCTTTTAATATGTATTTTTTACGAGGTTCGTAAAGTATAATATTCAAATTTTAGCATTCAATTTTTAAATTTATTACATATATATGTACTTATCTTGACCGCCTATACGTAGTTCTGAATCTATACTAAAATACACTGAAACGTAAAAAAAACATCATCAAAATCGAGAAGAAGACATATATATTATATATATATTATTACTAAAGAAATATTTTATATTTCCGTATGTAACGCCTTGCACTTTTGGTTTATTTTACTAGGCGACCATGACATTATAAGAGCGCAAAAGGTGACTGAAACTGTGCTTGCAGCGGTTTATAAAGCGCTGAATGATCACCATGTTTACCTCGAGGGAACATTGCTAAAGCCTAATATGGTAAGATTATCAAATCTTTATTTGACATACACACACGTTGGACCCTAACATCACATTCCAAATTTATTCATTATTGAAATTTTAAGCCTACATTATACCGTTTGTTGCCTATACCAATGACAATGAAAGATTGATTTTAATTACTTTAATTGTCTTTGCCCATACCCAGAATTTTACGAGCACGACATTTTAAAACATTGATGTAATCCTTCTCTTGTTCTGACACATTTTATAGTAAATGAAAAAGTTTCTACGGATACAACTTATTAAGGTATTTTCAGGTAACACCAGGAAAAGCATGCAAAGAACGTAATACTCCTGAAGAAATAGCAGTAGCAACGGTCACGGCTCTTTTAAGAGGCGTACCGGCAGCCGTTCCAGGTACATAATATATGTTTGGTCCTTTTAATATAAATCAGTACCGGACCTCTATGGGCGGATTACGAATTAAACGGAAACACAAACATTCACAGTGCGACAAAAAACAGGATAATATAGGTTCATTCTAGCGTCGGCTATATTTTTTTTGTAGAAGAGGGGGCAAACGGGCAGGAGGCTCATCTGATGTGAAGTGTTACTGCCGCCCATGGACACTCTTGATGCCAGAGGGCTCGCAAGAAGAAGCTTAAAAATTGGCATCTCCTGGACAAGCGTGCCCTTCAATAGGCCGCTTGTGTAGCAATCTACGATGTTCGATATGTATGATATTCGAACTATCAAAATCTGACATGTGAATTAAGTACATACATACTTTTGTGAGAGATGGATTGAATACGCGTAATTTTAATATAAATAATTAGAAAACTGTTTAGATTTAAGGTCATTTACTGTTAATTTAGTGTAGCTACTTATTAAGAAGAAAATAGGCGAGAAAACGAATCCTTATTTATCTGCTATTTTAAATAGATATAATAACACGAAGAGAAACAAAATCACGAAAATATGTATAAAAATTACACGTTCATTATAGTTCACAATTTAATATTTATAGGCATAGCTTTTCTTTCTGGTGGACAGACAGAAGAGGAAGCGACAGTGTACTTGAATGCTATTAATAAAGTGCCTATGAAGAAACCCTGGGCCCTAACTTTTAGCTATGGGAGGGCGCTTCAAGCGTCTGTTTGGAAAACGTGGGCTGGACGAGAGGAGAATTTGATAAAAGCGCAAACTGAACTTATTAAGAGAGCTAAGGTATATCTTCTAGTATAAACTGAATCAGACTTAGAACACTGGCTTATATTCCTCTTTTGTCTCCTATTGTGAAATTATGTTTACAGCGTAAGAGACAAAATAGTATTTTAGTTTAAACTACTGACTGATTGTTTTTTTGTGATTACACGCTAACACCTGGAATAACTGTTTCTATGAGAATCTTTATAGCGCACACTTAACTAAAACTAATAAATAAAACTATTAATTTGGGGCTCTACCAATATCCTAAAATGTTCTTGTTCCTGCTTTTGACCGGAAATTTATAGTGTATACTATAATTTTCAAGTATGTACGTACATTCATTCGACCGGACACACGCGTTCGATGTAGGTTACGACATCTGTTGTTACAACATCTTGGCTTGTTTTATCTATTGCGCACTGGGTGGCGCAGGCGGGCGTAGCTTGAAATTGAAAAAGATATTTTATTTTACAGATATTTTACGTTGACGTAAGCATTTAATACATATCAAGCAGAATATAATCCTTGACAGAACATGATAAAATAGAAGCGGTTTTGTGGAACTGAGACTTGTTACTTAGAATAATTTCGATATTAGTTAGTATATTATATCACTTTATATAAAATTTCTACAGGCAAACAACTTGGCTGCTTTGGGACAATACAACTTTGAAGGTGCTTAATTGAAGAAAGTTACAGAAAAACAACAATGACATTATTATAATAATTATTGATTGCGTACTATGTAATCTAAAGTGGAATATAAATAAAAATGTTTTTTTTAATTCATCTTATTCTTGTTTGAGATTAACGCCATCTAGTTTAAGATCATTATTTTCTTTTAAAGTATAAAGGTTGCGACCGTCTGTGTTTTTATCGTGCTTAATAGATTCAACACTAGACAGCAGTTTCGTAGATTTTTTAAACCGGAATACATATATATATGTTCTTTTAAAAAGGTTCACAAATAGTTTAGGTTTATGTCTAATAAAACAAAACATAATATTAATGTTATTCAACACAAAACTGACTTTTATTAATGATTGATGTGACATAAGTATAGCACTATTTTCAGTACGAAAAGATGACATTGACATTTAACATTTTACGTATGGTAAGTCGACAATTTAGAAAGCGTTTCATCATTCATAGACTCTAAGGCCATTGAGAACTCTTTAATTTATCTATATAATATTGGAATGTGTTTTGACAGTTTACTATGGCAAATCGACATAGACTACAGAACCGCAGTAGACAGTAAATAATAATGTAAGAGATTAGAGATCTTCAGTTCAGTGAATCGCGTATGCTGTATTAGATAAGTGCGTACTGCTTATGCGTTTATCAGAAGACCGTACAGTAGTTTTGTAAAATAATACTAGCCATTAAGTTTAATCTACATGGTCTATGAATATCTAAGATATTCTGCTACACCTTTGTATGTAGTATAAAAAAATACCGATTATAAATATGGTACAAAATGCCTCCTAGTGCCATTAATTGTATGGCAGAGAAATCGAAATTCTAATGCATTCCTTTGAGTTTACATCAATGTCGTGTGATGGCTTTTTCGAACATAGTGCGGATGTGTTCTTTATTTATTTTCCTTAGTGAAGTGTTCTAAATAATATAAATAATGACTGAAAATTGTGATAGTTCGCTGAGTGTTTGTTATTAGAAGTTTTCGAGGATTTTCTTCACCCTATTGCTTGGATTATAAATAGGAACTGGTTAGTAAATATTTATTTAGCTTAGTAAGATGCTTACAGATAGATCTGAGCTATGTCATTCACAGTTAAGAATGTAATGACTGCATCTCACATCTGTTTTCTGTAATGTGTTGACATAGATCTGTAAGTAATATACAGCATAGTTATTGAAGGTGTAAATGCTTAGAGGACTTTGTTTGTTTCTAGATCTATAAGTTAATGCTCTCAACCACAATATGTTGTATTATTCCAACATATAAATAAGTACACACAATATTACTTATTGTATTATCTAATAGATAATAGTTATCATAGTTTTATTGAGCCATATAGTCCATAACATAAAGGTTACTTTGTATCCATTCTTTTATTAATGAAATCAGTGGATTTTATAATGATAAAATTACAATTATAAAATTCTAAATAAGAGAAACTTCTGTAATTTAATATTATACTAAATATTATGAGATCATGATTCATGAGGACCACCTAATAAGAATTCCTAAATTTTAACCTCTACCCTACCATTGTGCATTGTGTATTTTACTATATTATTTTTTTTTACATTTGGGTAGAGTAAATAATGATTATATAATGATATGACTATTTTTACCACCTTTTTAACTCCTTATTCTGTTCCTCTCGCTAAAGTCTTACAACATATTATAAGAAATATTAAATTAATAAGTTTCTTATTATCTAGGTAGGTTGTGCCTATGATTAAGTTTCAGAAAGTAACTTATTGCCACTCAAGTACTTATTATGTTTTATGTGGTCTTTTTGTATCTCGGTTTTCAGTTGTAATAAAATGTTTTACTATCCTTTCAATTAAATATATGTGTACTGCCATGTATTAGAAATATTTGTTGCCAAGGTCAAAATTTATGTTGTTACATTGCAATATGCATGCATATCAAATAAATAATTACATGGAGATTGAAATTGAAATTAAATTGTTTCTTTTATTAATGTTTCATTAAAATTACATATTGTTATGCTAAGTCAGCAGAAAACATTCATAAAAAGAGCAGGTTATAGGTAGGTTTTTTTATTCAATGTAGTTCAGAGAATTTTTCATGACCCAATAATCTGTAATGTATTACAGTATTCCTAAAAGCATAAAATTTAGTAAAACATTCAATTTTGATAGGAAATAATTTGTGTTATGAATAAGGTGTTGGTTGCCATAAGTATATTTTCTAGCGAACTGAAAAGGCATAGGGAAGTAAGAATTTAGTAAAAAAGGCTTGGCACACGGCTAAGCTCACGCTTCGCGCCGAATCAATATTAGCTCGCGATTCGGTGAACCGTCAGCAGGGTCCGCACGTGTTTACCTACATACAGATCTACACCATTTTGCTTAATGTCAAAATAATTGCCATTATTTTTGGCTTTTAAAAATATCTATGAATTTCACAATTTATATTTTTTTACAATCGATACTCCCCAATTTCGCATTTAATGTCGAGCAATATAATGCATGTGTATATTGCTCCCTGCATAAAGCAATCGTTGATTTTATCCGTGTTTTGATCAACGATAGTTGAATAATAAGTTTTTGTTCATTGAACAATAATTTGTGTGTTATATCTATTTAATAGCTTTCGCAGCATATCCATTTTTCAAAATATGCTGCGAAGAAATAATTATTAAGTTTCGTTATACTTTGAAATACTAAAGTTATTTCTTATGTTTTAAGGCTTGTCTCTACACCCGATAGTTACGTTGTTATGAAAATTAATTAAGCGGTTTTGGGTCTTCAAGCAATATGCATATTTAATTGTATAGATTTGTGTCTTCACCTTGTTTGAAAGTGGTCGTGCTGATTCAGCAGTGACGTCATACAAGTTCGAGGTGTGATAGCGTTCCCGTTTCCGTTGTGATTCATTTTGGCATACCTTTATTCTAAAATATAGGTAAGGGTTATTGAACGACCAATGGTTAAAATTCAGTTAAGACACAAGACGACACAGTTCGCAAAATTACAAATACATATTCCTAATTTTTTAATGATATAATTAATATGAAGAATATGTCACATCACAAGTCTTTTACAGAATAGGTACTATAACGTTTTAACATATAATTGAATACGCTCCCGTTACCCGTAAGTCACCCGAGTTAGCCCATTACCCTGCGAAAAGTGCTAACTACAGCCCATTTATCTAACAGACACCAATAGGAGCTTCACTAGGAAGCTTCTAAGATGACTAAAAAAGTGATCAGCGAATAAAAATGACTTGACTACTAAAATTAAAACTTCGACATTTCTTTAAACAAACAAAAATCCTTATTAAAACTAAAAGATGTATTTTAAACGCCTGAAGGAAGGTTATTTTTTTGAATTGTTTAATCTTAAGAGTAGCAAATGAAACCTGTGTAATGTCCTAGACGCATTTGTTGGGTATTATCTGTTTATATCGCATCAACTGCGTAACGTTAGGCAATTTTGATATAGAAAGTGGACAATGTAATAAGCAATTGCTGGCAATCTCGTAACTCTGTGCAGTCGGTAGGTTTTCGAAGAGGATTTTAATGGCGCATTGCAGATACGCAACGGTTCTAAACCGTGTACGTGACAAATTACATTTATCTTAATGATTAAATATAAATATAAAACATAATTTCACGTGAATTTTAATATATTATTTAAAGGAATTCTTCTCTTGACTGTCATTTTGGATTTAAATGAGTTAGTACTATTTAAAGGATAATTACCACAATATTATGTTATGGGTAATTTCCATGATAATTTTACATTTTCCTGTACATATAATTATAATTTCAAAAAGGCATATTAATGACCAATCTAATATAAAATCATACTTACATAATAGTAAAAAAATAAAATATTAAACTGACTTAGTTATCGCGTTACTATATTTTTATTATTATAGGGGTACCTAATTTTAATCATATATTTATACTCTTCTACACTAATATTATAAAGAGAAAAAGATTTGCATTTAATAGGTTCCAAAAATATAGGACTGATTTGAAAAATTCTATCACCATTAGAACCCTACCTGATGAACATAGGCTATAGAATATTTAAAAAAAAGTTTATGTATGAAATTAGGATAGTATAATAACCCAAGGTTTGAAATAGACCAATAAAAATTCGTAAATCTCGTACGTTAAACGCTAACGGCTAAACTATATAGATACACAATAGAGCAGTCTACAGTTTGATAGAAGACATAAGTATCAAATATAAAGTAGTAAATATAAAATATAAAGTTAATTATTTAAATATGTTCGACGACCTGGTGGACAGAAAAACTGTGTCCAGTTTGTGTTTCCACCACACCAACTTCTTTCTATTTAGGATCATGTATAATATAATAAATAAATAAAAATAAAATCCACAAAATCGTCAAAAAATATTATTTTGCATTTAAAAGTTTATTACCGAGAACAGCTTTTGGCTTATAGGGTAAGTGCTACGAATTAATGCGGGTGAAACCGCAGAGCACAGCTAGTATTTAATAAAGCCGTACGTTATTGTTTACAATATTTTCCTACACAAATTACTATAATATAGTAATTACTTACTTAATTAAGTAACCGATCATAGAATATAATTTATTGCAAGCGCAGCAGTGTTCTGGATTCTCTAGTATTATAAAATAGTTATCATTCAAAGCTCTTCCGTAAGCAGTGGTCCATTGACCCCAGAGCACGGATGCGCGAACAGTAGTAGCTAGTACATATACAAACTTTTATTTAGCCTGAACGTATATACAGAGCTATTTATATATTATACGTTATCTAAATTTATGTAAAACCGTATTTTTAATGTACAATAAAGTTTACAATAAATAACTATACGAATTGGAAAATGTTATGAATAGGTAAGTAACGTCATTTTTTTTTATTCTAGCTCGCATGTCTTGTTGTGGCTCGTGAAATGGTTTTTATTTTTTCCACTTCACACAAAATAATTAATACGTCTTTTTATATAATGTGTGTGT